TGGGTATGTAGAGGTCAGGACAACTTTTGGTGGTTGGTCTTCTTCACTTGTGAGTCTCCACGATTGAGTTGAGGTTAACAGTCTTCAAAGGCAAGCAGTTTAACTCTTGGCCATCTCTGTGACCCATCATTATAGTATCTTTTCCTGCACTTTGTGTGCATTGTAGTAACTAGGAAAAGGAATCCAAACCAAGTTAAAACTGAGCATTTCCTACTTTTTGGCATCAAATAGTAATTCCAATTATTTTCTGTTAACTCCCACATACATAGACAAATGGCCTAAAATCTAAAGTGCCTTCAGAAATAACCAGTAGCTAGAGGAGAAAGGAAGATTTTTAACTCTAAAAGGGATAAAGTAGTCTCAACACTGTCTTATTTATTTATTTATTTATTTATTTTTAATGGGGGCTGGAGAGATGGCTCAATAGAGTCCAGGTTTGATTTTATTAATTTATTTAATGTATATGAGTACACTGTAGCTGTCTTCAGACACACCAGAAGAGGGCATCAGTTTGCATTACAGATGGTTGTGAGCCACCATGTGGTTGCTGGGAATTGAACTCAGGACCTCTGGAAGAACAGCCAGTGCTCTTAACCGCTGAGCCATCTCTCCAGCCCAACACTGTCTTATTTAAAGAAATCTATTTTTAGTTTTTATATTTTATGTGTGTGTGCAGAGTGTATGTATGTGTACCATTTGTATGAGTGTATGTATGTGTACCATTTGTATGCAGGTGACTGAAAACAGTCTCAAATCAATCAATCTCTCTCTTTCTCTCTCTCTTTCTCTCTCTCTCTCTCTCTCTCTCTCTCTCTCTCTCTCTCTCTCTCTCTCTCTCTCTCTCTCTCTCTCTTTCTCTCTCTCTCTTTCTCTCTCTCTCTCTCTCTCTTTCTCTCTCTCTTTCTCTCTCTCTTTTGGTTTTTCGAAATAGCGTTTCTCTGTGTAGCCTTGGCTGTCCTGGAACTCACTCTGTAGACCAGGCTGGTCTTGAACTCAGAAATCTGCCTGCCTCTGCCTCTCAAGTGCTGGGATTAAAGGCGTGCGCCACCACTGCCCAGCTTCAAATCTCTTGAAACTAGAATTATATGTGGTTGTTGGCTACCACATTGGTGCTGAGAACTGAATCCAAGTACTCTGCAAGAGCAGTAAGTACTCTTAAATGCTAACCCATTGCTCCAGTCCGTCACTACTATTTCTAAGTGGAGAATCTTTGCTTTTGCCATGAGATCCAGTGGATCTCTCTTGGATAATTTAGGCTTTCTCTTCTTCTTCTTCTTCTTCTTCTTCTTCCTCCTCCTCCTCTTCTTCTTCCTCCTCTTCCTCTTCCTCCTTTTCCTCTTTTTTCTCTTCCTCCTCTTCCTCTTCTTCTTCCTTTTCCTCTTCTTTCTCTTCCTCTTCTTCCTCCTCCTTTTCCTCTTGTTCCTCTTCCTCCTTTTCCTCGTTTTCATCTTTTTCCTCTTCCTCCTCCTCTTTTGTTGTATGGTTTTTGAAATCAGGTCTCCCTAACTCGCCCAGGCTGGTCTTGAATCCTAGGTTCTCTTAGCTTCAGCTTCCTAAGTGCTAGGATTACTACTATGAGCTGAACAATTTAGACAGTTCTTATTCCTTTTTTAAGAGTTGGTATATGTGTGTGTGGGTGTGTGCTGACTGCCTGTATGCCTGCCTGTCCAAGTTTACGTGTACCACAAGCCTGCTGGTGCTCTCAAGCCAGAGGGTATCAGATACCCTGGAGTTGGATTATAGATGGGTAGGAGCTATCTGATGTAGGTGCTAGAATCCAGATCCTCTGCAAGAGCAGCAAGTGCTATAACCAGAGCTATCTTTCCAGCCCTCAATTTAGGCAGTTTTGTTTTTGTTTTTGAGACAAGGTCTTGTTATACAACTCTGACTGGTTTAGAATTTGCTATGTAGACCAGGCTGGTCTCAAACTTATATGCAGAATTCTGTCTTCCTCTGCCTCCCAAGTATTGAGGCTAAAGGTGTGTGTGCCATCACACTAATTTGAAAGTAAATTTTTCTTCTTAATCTTTGTCTTTACATTTATTTAAGTATTTAACTTTTATGTGTATAAGTGTTTTGCCTTCTTTATGACTTGTATTACATTTGTTCAGTGCCAGTGAAATCCAAAAGAGGGTGTTGTGTCTCCTGGGACTAGTGTTCTGGATGATTGTGAGCCAGCTTTGCAGGTGCTGGGAACTGAACCAGGACCTCTGGGAGAGAAGCAAGTGTTCTGAACTGCTGAGCCATAGCTCCAGTCCCCTGATCCAAGAAATTTGGAAAACCTTTTTTGTTTTTTTTTGTTTTTCGAGACAGGGTTTCTCTGTGTAGTCCTGGCTGTCCTGGAACTCACTCTGTAGACCAGGCTGGCCTCAAACTTAGAAATCTGCCTGCCTCTGCCTCCCAAGTGCTGGGATTAAAGGCGTGTGCCACCACCGCCCGGCAATGTTTTTTTTTTTTTTTTTTTTTTTTCAAGACAAGGTTTTGCTGTGTAGTTTTGGCTGTCCTGTAACTCAATCTGTAGACCAGGCTGTCCTTGAACTCAGGGATTCACCTGCTTCCCTCCTAAGTGCTGGGATTAAAGGTATGATGCTCCACTGCCTTCTAACTTTTCACTAAAAAATGTTTAGCCTAAAGCAGGTGTGGTAGTTCATACCTGCAAACCCAGCATTCATGAGGCTTAACATAGGACCTCTAGTTTTGGATCAGCCCAGGCTATTGAGCTAGATAGCAGTCTGATACCTATAGTTTCTAGTCTTTAAATTGGGGACAATTTCTTTAAAAAATTTTCTTCTCAGCCTTCGATGGTGGTGCAGCTGCTAGGACAGCCAAAGCTGCACAGAGAAACCTTGTCTCAGGCAAAACAAATAACCAAACAAAAATATTTCTCTTCTCTTGTTTAGGGTAGGAGAAATTTCAAGAATCATCATGTGTACTGTGTCATTGTTACCCCCACCCCCACCCCTAGTGAACCTAAGGCATCATGCATGCCAGGCAGGCACTCTACCAATGATCTATAGTTACATCCCTCTAGTACTATAAAGTACTTAGATGAAATATTTCAGCGAGTAGCTTGTTATCTAACAAACACTACAAGGAATTTAGCTATTAACACAGTGGCATCCTCTGGAGAGCTTGCGTCTTCTTTAGCATATTGTATTAGGCTTGCCACAACCTCCTCAGGTTTGGTATTAAGATCTATAATGGGAAGTGATAGTGGCTCTGCTTAGCACATGGGGTGGTTCTGTGAATTGAGCACATGTTGCCCATAAAAACTCTTGGAGAATCTCAAGAAGCAGCTAAAGGAGCTGCTTTAGTTAGGAACTTGTGCTTGTCTGGATAGACAGATCTCAAGTATGTAAGGGAATGGAATTGCATTTTCCAGTATCTTCCTTCAGAGAAGAAATGTGAATGTATTAAAAATGTCAATATCCTGCTGGACAGTGGCTGTGCATGCTTTTAGTCCCAGCACTTGGAAGCCGAATCAGTTGGATCTCTGAGTTGGAAGCCAGCCTGGTCTACCTAGTATGTTTCAGGACAGCCAGAGCTATACGAACCCTATCTCAAGTGAGAAAACAAAAATGAGCCGGGTGTCATCCCTGCACAGGACAGGCAGAGATGAAGATCCTTGGACTTGGCTGGCCTTCCTGCCTAGCCTAATTGATGAGCTTTAGACTATGAGAGACTCTGTCTCAAAGGAAGGAGACAGAGTTCCTGAGAATGACACTGGAAATTGTCCTGTGCCCTCCATGTGCACACACAAATATACACATTCACTTAAAAAAAAAAAAAACCTGAGTAATTACTACATGTCAAGTACCTACTCTGGGATATAGCAGTGGACAGGTGTTTAAGGTTCATATCTTGAAACCAGGTAGACAAGTACCTTTATTTTCTAGTTGATGTCAGGTCTGTTTCTGGATACATGTTCTTGTCTTATTAATGTTTTGTTGTTGTTTGTTTTAGATTTCTCATTTTTGAGATAAGATCTTTCTATGGTGCCCTTTCTAGCCTGGAAATCACTACATAGACCAGGCTGGTCTCAAACTCAGAGATCTGCCTGCTTCTGTCTCCTGAGCAGTGGGGTTCAAGGCATGTGCCACTAGGCCTGGCAGTTAAATACTGTGTCTTTATATGTATCCATGCAGATGACTATAGCCTCCTAAAGATGTTACAGGTATCAGATCTCCCTGAAGCTTGAGGTGTAACAGGTTTTGAACTGTTCAACTTGGGTCCAGACTTATGTGGGAGCCAAGTTCATGACCTCTGCAAGAACAGTATACACACCTTTAACCACTCAGGCATTTTGCTAGCCCCCTTTTCCCAATTTTCCTAAGGTAGGAGCTCAGTCTTAGCCCAGGATAGCCTTGAACTCAGTATGTAGCTGAGGGTCTTTTTGAATTTGTGTTAATCTTGTGTAAGCGTCCTGACTAATAGGATCACAGCTATGAGCTGCAATACCCAGTGGTGGTGTGGCAGTGTTGAAGATTGAACTCAGGGTTTATATACCCTAAGGAAATACTCTGCCACTAAGCTACATTCCTTGCTTAACATTTAAACTGAGGCTATTCACAAGGCAGTAATTTTAATTAAGATCAATGGCATACCATTGAAGATTAAGAAATGTATTTTTGTACCAATACAGTAGACATTCTGGTGTACAATAATGCTGACATTTGAAGTTGAATATGTTGTCCATGAATTTTTTTGTTTTGTTTTTTTTTGTGTGTGTGTGTGTGTTTTGAGACAGGGTTTCTCTGTGTAGCCCTGGCTGTTCTGGACTTGCTTTGTAGACAAGGCTGGCTTTGTAGACTAGGCTCACAGAGATTCACCTGCCTCCGCCTCCTAAGTGCTAGTGTTAAAGGTGTGGTGCCACCATACCTGGCTATTTTCCATATTTTAACCAATGTGAATGGAAATGATTTTTTTACCATTTCAAGGTTTTAAACTTACATCCCTTCCTTTGATTTGTGTCAGGGTAAACCATTGATGCAAAAGACTTGACTCCATAATCTCCATCTGCCCTAATGCTGTCATCTGGAGTAGAGACTCAGCCAGTTCCACTTGATTCCTCCATGTCTGCTGTGGTACAGGGATTGCACTCTGAACTCTCAGTAAGTGTCTCCAAAGAGCTTTATGCTGAGCAGGAGCCAAGTATGATTCCAGACAGAAAGCCTGGAGCCTCAAGCTCTCCTGTAAGTCATGGCAGGGCATCACCCCTGGGGTTGCAGAGGACTCATGCAGAAGGTTGTTGTGAAGAAAGCTCTGAGACCTTGGATTATGGGGGCAAGACTGGGTGGTGTGGACTAGTGGACCCTACAAGAGATCCTATGGCTTGTGAGATCTTGGCTAGGGAAGAGAGACCCAAGAGCATGGAGCCAAAGGTCTTCAGAGATCAAGGAGACCAGGCGCCAGTTTTCAGAGACCTATGTGAGGGAGCAAAGGAAGACCTGTGCCAGCATTCCACAGCTACTAAAGAAAAGATCTGCCCCAGTCAGGTAAGAAGGGAGATCTTGATTTGGATAAGTTGACTGAGTGATAGCACTGCAGAGCAGTGCCTCTCATGATAAATCACAGATGCTGTGGACAGGTAGCATGTGACTTAAGTCTTGAAACATTGTCAACAATACTGATTTTGATGTTTTTTGATATAAGTCACTGTTGTGTTCCCCCTACTGTATCAATTTCTCTTAAAACAAGGTGGTATTTCTACACATGCTGATAGACAGTTATGTATCAGGCCTGGGGAGATGGCTTAATTAAAAATCAGATCCCAACACCCACATAAAAAGCCAAGCACAACAGCACCTGAGTAGCACAGGGTGGGCAGGTCACTGGAGTTCATCGGCTAGCGGGCTGAGCCAAATCTGTGAGCTCCAGGTTCAATGGGAGACCCTAATCAAAAAGTAAGGTGGGAAGCTATTGAAGACCACACCTGACTTCTACCTGTAGCCATCAGCACAGGTGCACACATGTGCACACCCACCAGACACACAGAATGATGCAAAGTGATGAGAATTCAAGCTGTAACATTTGGTAGTATTATGACACACTAGAGTGAAATGTTCCTGAGAAATCTTTGGGGACGTTAATGCTACATCAGGTGGATTTTTCAGAAGCTATTTGCTTTTCAGACCAAGAAACTTTTTTTTTTTTTTTTCTCCAAAGTGATGGGTATCAGACCCAGGCCTGGTATATACTAGGCAAACAGTCTACCACTGAGCTATATACCCAGATAATTTTTACCTTTTAGACATCAGAGGTGATCTTCATAGTAGACTGATGAATGAGTCAGAAAGCCAGTTCTTTTTTTATTTTTAGTTTGTTCTGTGTCAGTATGAAACAAGGTCTTTATTCTGTTGCTCAGAATAAATGCAAGATAACTTTAATGCAAGATAATTCTCCTTTCTCAGCTTCTTGAGTGTTGGAACTACAAGAGTACACTCCATGCCTGGCTTTGTAACCACATGGAAGATTTCACAACCTTATGTAATTCTCTTTCTAGGAGGTCCTATGCTATCTTCTGGCCTCCTTGGATACTGTACACATATGCACTTACATGTACACTTTTTTTTTTTTTTTTGAGGCAGGGTCTTACTTCTGCATCTCAAGTGCTAGGGTTAAAGATATGTACCAACATACCCAGGTACACCTAAGCATTTTAAAAATTAACGAATTCAACATTTTAATAATCATACTAATTGAAGGATGGAAGAAAAAATGTTTAGTTGAATTGTAGGTTCTTGCAAATTAACTCCTTTGGGAGAGGTTGAGTCCTCATTGCCATTCGTTGTATTAGAATGTCTCATGTTATTGCTTTAAATATTCCTTGGCCTTAGATTACTAGTGCTGTGAAGAGATGCTGTGATCAAGGCAACTTTAAAAGAAAGCATTTACCTGGGGGATGGATACGGTTTCATAGGATGAGCCCATGAACATCATGGCAACAGGCAGGCAGGCAGGCAGGCCTGGTGTTGGAGCAGTTGCTAAGAACTTGTAGTTTGATCTACAAGCACGAGGCAGAGATATAACTGGGAGTTATACGGTCTTTTGAAACCTTAGAGTCTACCCTATAGTGATGCACCTCCAACAGGATCACACCTCCCAAACCTTTCCCAATATTCCACCTGCTAGGGAACAAGCAAGCATTCGCTGGGAGCATTCTCATTCAAACCACTACACTGTCATCTATCTCTATTAATTTATGTACTATTTCATCATTTTCTTGTGTGTCTTTCAGCTTCTTGGTTTATCTGTTTGTTTATTGAACAAGTTCTTTCTTGTAGCCCAGGCTGGTATTTTAATTCTTCATGTAGCCAAGGTTGACTTTGTACTTCATTCCAAGAAAAGTACTTCAAGAAAACAGAGTTTTAGGTTAGAGATTCAGCTTGCTTGCAGGAACTGTGCATGCAGTGGGTGCATTTGCAGCTTCTAATGCTTCAAAAACAACATGCAAAACAAGAGACACCTGCAGTTTTAGCAGGTCAGTTAGTCCTGACAACAGTGGGCTCGGTGGTAGAGCATGTCGACCCCTCTGGGGTGAGCCTCAGCACTGCAGTTAACAGAACACAGAATTGGATCTATAGAATTGCCGCAATGAAAGGCAGGTGGTTCTTCATCTGATTAACGGAACTGTCTGATCTGGATCAAATCTCTCAGGAGATTTGAGAAGAGTCTTCAAGCATTTGGATGGCTGTCCAACAGAAGTGAGCCTACTGAACACAGTTAGACTCTATGGATAGCACAGGGTAGCAGTAGTTCCTAGTCATTCTTGGGTCACAGAGCTTACGAACACTGCAGACCTCTCAGACAAGGAGACATGCCATTTGCACAGCATTCGGGTTTATAAAGTCAGAAGACCTTAAAATAAGAACTCTTACTAACCTGACAGACTACCACATAGTCAAAAGACAGTGATGCTAGGAATGGCGGTCATCCCATTATTTGGGAGGCTGAAGGAGAAAGATTGTCATCTGTTCAAGACCAGCCTGGGCTACATAGTTAATATCAGGTGAGTAAGAACTATATAGCAAGACCTTGACAAATTAAGAAGGAAAAAAAGCAACAAATTAAGAAAATATTTTTGTACATATAATTTATAGAGCAGCATCTTGCCTTATGCAAAGAAAATTCTTCATTTGTTTATTTTGCTTTGTTTTTAAGACAAGGTCTCTCTATGTAGTCCTGGCTATCGTAGAACTCATTATGTGAACCAGGCTGGCCTTGAACTTAGAGATTCATCTGTTTCTGTCTATACCTTCTGAGGTTGGCATTAAAGGCATGTGTCACCATACATAGAGAATCTTCTTCTTTCTTTGGGTTTTTTGTTGTTGTTTTGAGATAGGATTTCTCTGCAGTAGCCCTGGCTATACTGGAACTTAATTTGCAGAGCAGGCTAGCCTCAAGCTCAGAGATCTGCCTGCCTCTTCCTCTCAAGTGCTGGGGTCAAAGACGTGGACCACTACCTCTGGCTCATAGAGAATTCTTGAACTGATGAATTAAGAAACAAAACCTGGCTGGGAATGGTAGTATATACCTGTAATCCTAACACTCATTTAAAAAGTTAACAACTTATATACTTCAGTCATGAGATAAAGCTTTCAATCATTTAGAAGGTAAATGATTGAAAGGTTGGGTTTACTAGGCATAATATGTGCCTATGATTCTAGCACTGGGCTCTGTAGGGGAATAATGATCTAGAAATTCAAGATGAGCGTCAGCTACAGAGCAAAGCCATGTTACCTGGGTAGATGACACTCTGTGTCAGGACAAACATGAAAGCATACATTGAAAACACTTAACTGGGGGCTGGTGAGATGGCTCAGCAGTTAAGAGCACTGGGTGGTCTTCCAGAGGTCCTGAGTTCAATTCCCAGCAACCACATGGTGGCTCACAACCATCTGTTTTTTTTTTTTTTTTTTTTTTGGTTTTTCGAGACAGGGTTTCTCTGTGTAGCCCTGGCTGTCCTGGAACTCACTCTGTAGACCAGGCTGGCCTCGAACTCAGAAATCCGCCTGCCTCTGCCTCCCAAGTGCTGGGATTAAAAGCGTGCGCCACCACCGCCCGGCTTCACAACCATCTGTAATGGGATCCAATGCCCTCTTCTGGTGTGTCTGAAGCAACTAGAGTGTACTCAGATACATTTAAAAAGAATCTATTTAAAACAATAAAAACACACCGGGTGGTGGTGGCGGCGCACGCCTTTAATCTTGGCACTTGGGAGGCAGAGGCAGGCGGATTTCTGAGTTCGAGAGTTCAAGTCTAGCCTGGTCTACAGAGTGAGTTCCAGGACAGCCAGGGCTACACAGAGAAACCCTGTCTCAAAAAAAAAAAAATAAATAAAATAAATAAATAAATAAAATAAAATAAAACCACTTAAATGCAAACCAGTAAAAAGTAATTCTTTCTTGCTTTAGAGTTGTGTCAAAAGGTATAAAAATCTTTTAACTAGTAATTTCGTTTATTTGATGAGGAATATTTCATTATCGGAAGTGGAAGAACTTTTTAAATTATGTATTTTTATTTATTTATTTTAAAGATTTATTTATTTTAAGTATGTGAGTACACTGCTGCTCTCCTCAGACACACCAGAAGAGGGCGTCAGATCCCATTACAGATGGTTGTGAGCCACCATGTGGTTGCTGGGAATTGAACTCAGGACCTCTGGAAGAGCAGTCAGTGCTCTTAACTGCTGAGCCATCTCTCCAGCCTGTAGTTTTTTGTTTTTTTTTGTTTTTTTTTTTTGAGATTACACTCTCATTCCATTTCTCCCTTCCCTTTTTTCCCTTTAAACATTCCCATATATCTACCTCTTCTCTCCTTCAAATTCATGATGCCTATTTTTACATGGTTACTACATGCATAAATGTATATACATTTATATTCTTTATACATATTATTTTCCATATAATAGTCCTTGTGCACCGGACAACCAGTTGGTGTCTTTTTCCCTGAGGAAGATCACCTCTCCTGCTCTCAGCTTTCCTTGGTTGCCTCTGCTTTTTGTGTAGTGGATGAGGAAAAGTCCATTAAGACCTAAACCCTACACACATAATTTAAGAATTTATTTTTTAATTTTATGTGTATGTCTATTTTGCCTGTGTGTATGTATGTGCATCATGTGTGTGTCTGATGCCTGTGGAGGGCTGAAGCGGCCTTCTGATCTTGGAACTGGAGTTACTGATAGTTGGGAGCACCCAGGTAGGTGCTGGGACCCAAACCCAGGTCCTGTGCAAGGACATTGACTGCTTTTAGGAATGGTGAAGGAAGAAGTTTATCGTGGATAAAAGGGAGAGCATAGCTAGAGGTAGGCACTTGTGGAGAGTCTAGAGTGGACATGACTAACTGAGCTGTCACCCTAGAGAGGTGGGAGGAGGGGAAGGAGCCAGGTGCAGCAGCCAGAAGGCCAAAGGTACAAAAGGGGCTGGTAACGAAATTGTCTGAATTGTATTAAGGAAGAGCCTCTTGGGGAAGGGCAGCCAGAAGCACCTGTGCTGGAGATCTCTTGGGTAGAGGCCAGCCAAACCCTGAAACAGGTAGGAGGGAGGGAGGCTGGGAGAACTTGATGACTAAGTCTGCTTTGATGTGTTAAATGGCTACTTCAGCCTTTTGTCCTGGGTTTAAAACTTAACAGAGCCAGGGTTTCTTCTTTCTGGACCTCTTTCAGGGGGCCACTTGTCTCTTCCTCCTGAGTGTTGGGATTAAAGGTGTGCACCACCAACCACCACCTAGCATTTTATTTTTTTTAACCTTAAGAAAACAATACCTGAGAAAGGTACAGCAGAAGCACCAGCTACAGGAGCCAAACTCAACTTTGAAGTGATGTTTTCAGTTCTGAACGCAGTTCTTGTAGGAGAAAGGTTGAAAATGATGGTACATGTGAGATTTACTATGAAGGATGTACTAAAGATGGGTCTTACTTCAGAACTGCAGCAAAGATGGATGCAGCCTGTGGTGTGGTGTCCTCCCCCACAGATGAAAGAGTACTGAAAATCCCCTCTGCCCCTACCAGGGTTGTTTGTGATTGTTGCTGAGTCGAGGTTGTAGAGTGTTAATGTCTTTTTTTTTTTTTTTTTTTTTTTTTTTTTTTTTTTTTGGTTTTTCGAGACAGGGTTTCTCTGTGTAGCCCTGGCTGGCCTGGAGCTCACTCTGTAGACCAGGTTAAATTTTTTTTTAATTGCTCTTTTTCTCTTCCATGATAGTAGATGTACCTGGGTTGAATATGTTGTAAAAAATTTTGGTTCCAGGATGTAATACTTGTACCGAAGGCCTAAGAAAAAGTTGCTGTCTTTCCACCATTGCATACACATTTTGGAGAACATACCGGATTTGATGGAAAGAAGCATTATAGTAAGGAGATAGCTGTTGGTTGTTTGAAGCATGTTATGTTTTACAGAAATTCATTTTTGCATGGTATGTTCACAAGACACCCAGTTTTTATGATTTATGTCAATTTATTTAAAGGTTGTTGAACTTAATACCATCCAGATTACTGTGTACCAACCCCGAGAGCCTCTGATTCTAACGGAAGTTTGCTGTAGTGTACTGAGGTTGCTGTGTATCTACCAGGATTTCATGAGATAGAAAGATGGGCCAATGGTTATGTTCACTTGCTGTTCTAATGGATGGAGGACCTGTGTTTAGTTCCTAGCACCTACGTTGGGCTGCTCACAACTACCTGTAAAACTTGTTAAAACTTTTAAAAATTATATGTGTATGTGTGTTTGTATACAACACACTTGTAGGTGCCTACAGAAACAGAGAGTGCCTGAGATCCCAGGAACTAACATTGCCACCATGTGTGTCATGAGAATGAACTTGGGCCCTCTGTGAGAGCAACATGTGTTTTTAACCACAAAGCCATCTCTCCAGCTCCTAATGAAGGGATTTCCTGTCGGAAGTAAATAAAATTTCAGTGACCTAAAAGTGAAAAGTCTTGGCAGCTGAAGAGATGGCTCCATCAGCAAATGCTTTCTTGCTATGGCAGCATGAGGATCCGAGCTTGATCCCCTGCACTCACAGAAAAGCCAAGAGCAGTGGCACACTCGGAATCTGGAGACTCTCTGGACTCTCACTGATCAACCTAACCTATCCTTAACACCAGGAGACCCTTTCTTGAGAAACAAGGTGAGGAGGGCTGGTTGAGATGACTCTGCCTGTAAAGGTGCTCACCGTACACCACAAGACCTCAGCTTGATACCAAGGACTCACGTAAAGATGGAAGGAGAGAACCAATTTCATAAAATTGTACTCTGACTTCCACATGTGCACAGAGGCACATGCCCTCCCCATAATCACACCCAAAGTGGTGGTGGTGGCGGTGGCGGTGGCGGTGGTGGTGGTAAAAAATGAAAAAAATGGAGGTAGATGGCTCTGAGGAACAACACCCAATGTCAACATCTGGTCTCCAGCCGTACTCACAGGTGTGTACACACAATGGAAACATATATTTTAAAGGAAGAAATTGATGTAGATAGGCTGTTCTTGGGTCTGCAGGGCACTATTGTCCCCTAGTTTGCTGTGACTAAAGCATGTTGTTAGAATGTAAGAGTTCCTATGACTTTACAATTGGTGCCTTACTTATAAAAGCTGCAGGTTTTCTGAATTGAGAGACAGGAAAATTCCTATAAAAGATACCGGTTTTGTGCTCCTCTGTACATGAACGGTGTAAGATCTTTTATCTTTTTCTAGGGGTAAAACTTCTCTTTCATTAGAGTGCTGGCAATTGAGTCCAGGGCTTTGTCCAGCTCGTTAGGCACCATACCAGTTGAGTTACAGCCCCAGCCCTGCACGATCTTTGTCAGACTCAGTAGCTCAGAGGCTGGCTCTTCTTTCTGTGAGTTTTCCACCAGAGCCACACCCAGGAGCATGCTTTGTTACCCTTTTTTGTTTTATTCTGTTTTTGAGAGGCTAGAGTTGGTTCCGAGTTTGTGAGCACTTGTTGCTTACAATCTGGGTTTGAGTGGCAGTGCTCTGTGTCTACTTATCTGTAACTGCAACTCTAGGGAACCTGACACCCTCTTCTGACCTCTGCAGGTGCCAGGTACACATGCAGGTAAAATATACACATAAAATAAGTTAATTAAAAGCATGAACAAAAACTGGGACTGAAGAGATAGCTCAGTGGTTATGAGCACTGGTTGTTCTTCCAGAGATCCTTAATTCAAGTCTCAGCAACCACATGGCAGCTGTTGCCCTCTTCTGGCCTCCAAGGGTACTGTATGTAGGCAAATAGGCAAAGCAACCATATATAAAACAATTTTTTTTTTTTTAAGGTTTTCCAAGATAGGGTTTCTCTGTGTAGCCCTAGCTGTCCTGGGAACTCATTCTGTAGACCAGGCTGGCCTCGAACTCAGAAATATGCCTGCCTCTGCCTCCAAAGTGCTGGGATTAAAGGTGTGTGCCACCACTGCTTAGCCATTTTTAAATTTTAAAAAATCTTTTCAAACTTTTATTTTGAAGTAATTTGTGATTGACATGAAACTGAAAAGGTAGAACAAAAGTCCAAAACTGGCCAGGCAGTGGTGGCGCACACCTTTAATCCCAGCACTTGGGAAGCAGAGGCAGGCGGATTTCTGAGTTTGATGCCAGCCTGGTCTACAGAGTGAGTTCCAGGACAGCCAGGGCTACACAGAGAAACCCTGTCTCGAAAAACCTAAAAAAAAAAAAGTTCAAAACTGAAATTAAGTCTCAGTTTAATAGACAAAGTTTGACTATAGCCTTGCTGGCCAGGAACTTGCTGACCAGGCTGGACTTGACTTATGGAGGTTTACCTGCCTCTATGGTGCTGGCATTAAAAGTCACAAACTCAGTCATTAACCTTCCAATTTTCTCATTGATTTGCAGGTGTCTAAAAATTCTTCAGCAATTTCTGTTCTTGAGATCCAGCTAGCTCCTCCTTTTCCTGTTCTTGTTTTCAGCAACCCCCTCTTTAATGTTAACTTCCCATCTTCTTGTGAAGGGAACTAGAAGGGGCTGCAGGCAGCAATGTGAGCTGCATGCCTGAGCACAGAGAAACTTCTATCCTGCACCGGCTTACACTGGCACTGTACCAAGTGCTCCTGTACCTCTAACTCATCTCTTGATTTCAGAAGGCACTTACTGGACCTGCATGCTGATACACACCTACAGTCCTGTCACTCAAGAAGCCGAGGAAGGAGGATTAGAGCTGTTTTAGTCCCACTTGGATTACCTAGAGACTCTACTTCCAAAAAAAAAAAAAAAAAAGTGCTTTGTTAGCATCTGCTTCAAGCTCACATTCCAGAGAAGTAATCCTTTTTATTTATTAACCTGAATTTGAGCTTTTCTTCAGTTCTCAATTCCTGTGACTATTGGCAGAAATCCTGGCATCACACTGAGCGCTGAAGTAATAACTGATGTTTGTGAGCTCAGGTACCTCTGCATCTTCTGTTGACTGTGGGGTTTTCTTGCTGCAGGATCTCCTCCTGAGACAATCCAGCAAAGGACCTGTATGTGCAGAACTCGCTCGAGATCCACAAAAGAACAGAGGTATGGTACTTCTTTTTGTTGCTGAGTTTTGCTTTTTTTGAGATAAGATCTCACTATGTAGTCCTAGTCTGTCCTGGAACTCATATCCACCTGCCTCTGCCTCCTGAATGCTTGGATTAACATGTGCATTATACTTAGGAAGGTTTTTTTTTTGAGACAGGGTTTCTCTGTGTAGCCCTGGCTGTCCTGGAACTCACTCTGTAGACCAGGCTGGCCTCAAACTCAGAAATCTGCCTGCCTCTGCCTCCCAAGTGCTGGGATTACAGGCATGCACCACCACTGCCCGGCTTTGGGAAGGTTTTTTGTTTTGGTTTTTTTTTTTATGATTCACTCATTATTTATGTGTATGTGTGAGCTTGCTTAAGTATGTGTATACCACATGTGCAGGAGCCAGTGGAGGCCAGAAGAGGGTGTTAGATCCGTTGGACCTAGAGTTAAAGACAGTTGTGCGTCACAGTGTGGGTGGTGGGTACCCAAACAGGGCCTATTGTAAGAACAGTAAAGCGCTCTTAATTGCTGAGCCTTAATTGCTGAGCCTTAATTGCTGAGCCGGTGCTTGCTTGAGATAGGTTTTCTTTGTGTGGCTCTGGCTGTCTTAGAACTTGTTTAGTAAACCAGACTGGCCTCAAACCCGTAGAGATTCCCCTGCCTCTGCCTTGGGAGTGCTAGGATTAAAGATGTGTCTTCCCTCCCCCCAAGCTCTCTTAGTTATCTTTTTTACCACTTTGGGTTTTGTTTTGTTGTTTGTTGTAGCCCACATGGGGAAGGGTGAGTGGAGAAAGAAACAGAAGAGAAGGATCCAGGATAGAGACTGATCGGGAAGGATTTCCAAGGAGGCCAAGTGTGACCACACAGGGAGGGCTGAGGTTGAGTTGGAGGCTGAGTCATGGCATTCACAGCCTGTGGTCTTCCACTTTGATCTTCTGGTCTTGAGATCAGATCAGGATCTGACATTGGCAAGCAGTATGTGTGTGGTCTCGGGGGCTAGAGCTAGCCTAAGGTAAGCACCTGTAACTTTTTATACTCTTTACAGTACTGAACTTAGAATCAGTCACTCTGTAGGCACAGATTCCTTGTTCCTTGTTGTCTTTTGAGACAGGGTTTCTCTGGGCAGCCCTGGCTGTCTTGGAACTTGATTTATAGATCAGGCTGGCCTAGAATTCACAGAGATCTGCCTGCCTTTGCCACCAGAGTTCTAGAGTTAAAGATGTGTGCCTGACCTTTAATATTTATCATTTTGTTTTGTTGTTTTTCAAGACAGGGTTTCTCTGTGTAGCCCTGGCTTGTCCTGGAACTAACTCAATTCTGTAGACCAGATTGGCCTTGAAGAGATCCATACATCAACGTCTTCCTTTCAGGACTTTTTGTTCATTTTCCCTTATCCTCCAGCCCCTTGTCAGGGTCTTACTACTTAGTCCTGGCTTTCCTGGAACTGTCTGTGTAGACCTTCCCCTAGATCAAGTAAGGTCCCATATCTCAAGGTTTCCACTGCCTCTCAGAGACATGCTCTTGGCTAGGCAGTATTCAAAAACACTTCAGAATAAAAAGCAACAGTGGGAGAGGCTTAGAAATGGCAGTAGAGGGAGGGACAAGCTTTGAGTCTGTTTCACAAAGGAATCTGTTCTGTCAGATACATTCAGACTAGTACTCTTTTTGTCGCTCATCTGAGGGTCTTTTATTTGTTGAAACTGGTTCTATCTAGCCCGAGCTGGCTTCAAATTTGTAGAGATCCTCCTGCCTCTGCTTTATGAATACTAGAATTAAAGGTATAAAACCACTGGCCCAGCTCTTTTGTTTGATAGCTTGTTTTTGTGTAGTCAGGATTGTGCATTCCAAGGTACCCTCCTCGGTGCTGTATAGTCGGGGGTGACTTTGAACTAAACTACTAATCGTCTTGCCTCTACTTCAATTGTGGGTATGTGCTATCACACCCAGTAAACTAAATTCATGCATGGATCATTGTTTGGGATGATATGAAAAGCAGCTTATTTCACAATGCTAAATACCATATAGAGAATTGGTGATGAGTTTTGTTAGTAATTGATATTTACGTAAACTGTTGACATCCAGTGTACATTTATTTATCCAGTGTTTGCTACCTCTCCATGTGCTAGAGGTCTGAGAGTAGAGTTTAGCAGCAGAGCATGTGCTTAAGCATGTGTGTGGTCCTGGGTTCAATGCTAGTACTTCAAATAAAAAACTCATTAGGTCTCCCCCCCAACCCCCCAGCTTTCCAGCTCTATACCTGCCAGGCTAGCCTTCTATCACTGAATTATACCTGCAACCCATATTCTAAATATTTTTAAATTCTGTTCTGGATGTCATTATTTTAACTGTTCTCATGTGTAGTTAAATAAAGAATCAAAGAGAAAATACTGCAAGCACTTTTCCAGGCAGAGTTTACATGTGTTATTTAATCCTCTATAGCATTGAGATAAGTGTACTTATCATGCTTTCTGCAGAAGAACTTGAGGCTCAGGGAAGTTAGTACCATAGAGTTGAGGGGCTTCAGAGTTCTGCCTGGCTTTGAACTTGGGTTGAGGCTCCTGTTCTGTTTCCTTTATACACTCTGCATTCCATACAGAAAGGTGGGTTGGTTGTTGTTGTTTGCTTTGTGAATTTCATAGTGGCCATTTTCATACTGACTCAGAAGTGAAGTGGGTAAACCGAGCTTGCATGTTCCTGTTACTCAGCTTCAGGAGTGGTCAGCCCTGTCTCACAGAAGGGAAGTTGTCACAACTCATTGGGTTTAGGAGCATTTCACTTGCAAGTTAATCTCTTATATATATAAAGTTCCACATATAACTGTTCTATTTTTTTTTTCTGACTTGTTTTTGGCAGTGCTAGGGATTGAACCTGTGGCTTTCCTAATGCTAGGCATGGGTTCTACCACTGAGCTGCAGTACCAGCTGTAACTGTTCCTTTTCAAAGAGCTACTTTATTTATATCTAATTTCAGGTAATAAGATGATCATCGAATAATAAGAACTGTTATAGTGACAGTTTATTGTGATAGGTAGGTAGATGGATTAGTTTTACCCCACCTAGGATTGACCCCAGTGCTCTGTCACTGAACTTTCTTTCTAACCCTCTTCTCAGCTTTATTTTGAGTTGCCTGGGCTGACCTGGGACACTGTAGCTCTGATAGTACTTGATCTTGCTATCCTGCCTTAGCCTCTGAGTAGCTGATATTGCAAACTGACATCACCAGGGCCTCCTAGTAGTTTTTTAAAATAGCAACTTGGGCTGGAGAGATGGCTCAGAGGTTAATTAAGAGCACTAGCTGCTCTTCCAGAGGTCCTGAGTTCAATTCCCAGTAACCATGTGGTGGCTCCTAACCATCTATAATGAGATCTGGTGCTATCTCCTGGCCTGCAGGCATACACACAGATAGAACACTGTATAATACATACATACATACATGCATCTTGGGCTGGAGAGATGGCTCAGAGGTTAAGAGCACTGACTGATCTTCCAGAGGTCCTGAGTTCAATTCCCAGCAACCACAAGGTGGCTCACAACCATCTGTAATGGAATATGATGCTCTCTTCTGGTGTGTCTGAAGAGAGCGACAGTGTACTTACATAAAATAAATAAATAAACAAAAAACCGAAAACACCTCAGCAACTTAAGACTGAGTCAGGCTCATATTTTTATGTGTCATCCATTTATCTAGTACCATCTGTGAATGCCAAATGACATAATGAAAAGTGGTTTTTATTTTTTTCAAAATTGGCTGCTTTTTTGGCTCTTTATCATAGTTTGCAAAGAAACACAAAACTACTAATATGCCATACTAAGTTTTCTGATTGTCTTCTCAGGTTAGTCTTTCTGTCATTGCCATTGGATATATGATGAAATTCATGTAGGTAGAGCAACTTTCTTAGTTTTATTTTTTAAATTATATACTGATTTGAGTTTCGTTCTCTTTTGTAAAAGGAAATGTACACAATACAACTGGAACTCTGCCAGAACTCACAGAAGAGAGACAAGGTATGAAAGCCAGAGGAACCAAGGGAGACAGTAATAAGTCGGACAGTAATGAAGAATGCTGGGTGGCACTGTGAGTCAACATGTATCGGCTGGGGGCAGTGAGCACCCAACAGTAGACAGCATGACCAGCAGTGAGCTTTGGGAAACAGATCTTTAGTTACCACAGAACCTGTAACCTTTGTAGACCCTGAATTGACAAAAGTAACTCTTAAAGAAAAACAATGTGGAGATTTACTAATTTGTCCTTTTGTTTGTTGTTACTAGGGAACGGTACTGTTTCCAAAATGAGCAAAGGGAAGAAAGAGTCATGTGACTTACACCCTGTCTGTAAAGAAGATGACAATCACCAGCAGAGTCTCTGCCATCGTAAGGAAAAGCACAGTTCTGCACATGATAGTGCTATCGCCACAGGAAGCATAGATACTATAAAACCCTCAGAAGAAAATTCTAAACTTTTGTATCTCACACCATATTTGTCTGGTCCAAAATCCTTAGAAAAATGTGTTTTTGAAAACAGTGGATTGATAAAGACATCTGCTGAAAAAATGCACAAGGTTGATCAAAACAAGGACTTCACTTGTGGAGAAGAAAGGACTGTGGAATCCAGTAACCACAACAACTGTCACACTCATGCTGGTTGTCCTTGTACAGACAGCTGTAGTTCTATGCTTAATTCTTCTACTGAAGCCACAGAAATTATGTTTAAAAAAAATGATGTGAAAATTACTTTGAACCTTCATGGTAATTTGATAAACTCTGAGGACCATAGAAAAACTGTTGTTGATGTGACCCATCCTGAGAAACACTCTGAGAAAAGCAGCTTTTCCTTATTGGTGCATATTGAAGAGTCTGAACAAACAACTGTAAAGTCCAGTGCATTAAATGGGAAGATTTACAGTAAAGATGCTAAGTCAGTAGTCAGCATCCAGAGAAATCTGGATGACTCTCTGCCAAATAAAGCATTATGCAATGATTTTCTGTCTGAAAGAAAGCCCCTTCAGCATTTGATGCCAGAAGATCCAGTAAGTTCTGAACGTAATAAAATATCAAAACTCAAGAAAGGTACTGCAAAATTACCACCATCTCCAGAAAACCCTGTTCAGACCTCATGTGACAGCATCTCACATTTCAATGAACCCATCAGCACCTGTGAGATGATTGGACGCTCTCCCAACAGAGAACTGATTACACACAAAATAGAACAAGAATGTGTTCCACATCAACAAGTGTCCCTTAGTTCTCAAGACCATGTGACAACTAACTCTCTACTAAGTATAAACAGAGAAATGCCTTCAGCAACATGCAAAGATGTTCAGGAGAGCCATCCTTCTCTGGAGAATGGAGTAGATGTTACCCCTGATACTCAAACCATTCCTGCTGAGACAAAAATGGAAGCCATGTCTCCACAAGGTGACAAAGCCTGTGGTGCCTCTACATACATACAAACCTTAAACATCAAAACAAGAAGCTCAGAAGGGCAAAAAGAAATGACTGGTGAACATTCCATGCTATTCTCAAGTGTGAGAGGAGCAGCTGGCTATTCCTTTGTCACGGAATGTCAAAATGCTCAGTCTCAGGGTGTCTTCAGCTGCCAATGCATAACACGAGATGCATCTGAAAAGAACATGTGTTCTGCTTGTGTTGCCTATGAACCTAGAAAAGATATTCTGAAAGTTAGCCACTGTAAAATAACATGTGGACATGCATCTCAGTATGGTAATCACTGCTTCCAAAGACCAGAAGATTTTGTAGAAAATAGCACGCTCTTGGAGAGTGAACCTGCTGGGAGAGAGATGCAAAGCAGCATCCTAGCAGGCACGGTCAGAAGTGCAATGACAGCAGCTGTGTCACATAGTGCTTCTGTGAACGCAGCTACTCACGTGGAAACCAGTGACAAAGCACTGGTTAGAAAGAAACAAGATCAACACAAAGACACTGAAATTTATAAACACAGCATCTCTGCTTGTGACACACAAGAACTAAAGCAATCTGCAAACATTCCAAGTCCTGAAACATTAGTGGACCAGTCTCTGAGTGTTATTTCATCTCATTTTAAAACCATGTACCAGGCAGCTGGAAATCTTCACCAGAAAGCAGATGAAGTCTCTGACTGTCAGAGTAACCAAAATAGTCTAGACAAATGCAGATGTGAAGGAAAGCCAGCCAGGGAAGGACTAAATGGTGACTACGAGGAGACCATCCCTGAGGTAAGCCACAAGCAAAAGGATCTGATAATCAGTTCAGGCAGTAAAGTCCCTTTGTCTTGTAGTAGTTTAAAGATAAAAGATCCCAAAAGAGCCTTTGAAAATATTCCTGGTTCTGAAGAGTTCACACACAGTATTCTTGATGCCGTATGTCCAGACTGCATAGATGAGCCTACAGAAGGAGTGCTGGGTGTGGAAGCATCTAGTCTCTCTGGTCGTTGTACAAGGCAAGATACACTGGCATACCACGAGGCTTTAAGAAGTACCTCATCTCTTCGAGGAGAACTGAATGTTGTATTTAAAGGTACACCTGGCTGGCACTCAGAACTCCCAAATTCTGCTGCTTCTGCTACTGCTGCTGCTGCTTCAGTAGACTCTCCTGAAATACAAAAGTCACGTAAAGAAAAAGTATCCATATCTTTAAAAGACTATGAAATAGGAGAATGTCCAGACTCTGCCATTGATCATGAAGTAAAAGCTGTTGCAGATCATGAACCAAGTATAAGAGCACTGGATAGAAGAGGTGTATCTTTAAATTACATTCATTGTGAACATCAAGGTGAAGGAGGATCCGTGACAGAAGGACTGAGACTTGAAGCAAATTCGGAGTTTGACAAGAAGAAAATTTTTGGGTTATCCTTAAAAGACTCAATGTCTCCTGGGTGCCAAGACTCTATCAAGATGGTGTGTTCTTGTCTGTCTTCTCAGGAACATTTACCAGCTGATGTTCATGATGAAATGCCTAACTCAAAACATCACTTTAAACCCAAAGATGATGAAATGCTTTGTGAACATGTCAAGGATTGCACAGTCCTGTCTGACATGAAGGAAGGAATACCAATGGATTTAAGTAACCCTAGTGAAGGAGATGGCACATACATCAGTGTGGACAAAAATGTTTGTAAAGCTTGTCACTCTCATAAGAATTCCATTGATAAACATTTGCCTGTGAAAATGGGAACAGCAATTAAACTGGATAAAGTAGAAACTGAAGAAAATCAGAAGGGACTGTTGGGTCACATACCTGTCGGGGAAGCATCTGAGGAGACCATCACCAGAGAAGGTCATGATGGTAATTCTCAGAGCCACTTGAAATGCCAGAGAGTACAAAATGTTACTGAAACCCCGCAAAACCAGGGAGCTGTGGACTATGCCTTGCCAAAGGAAGAATGTACACATCAAAAGGGCACACATGCACTGTTGGAACAACACACGTCATCAAACACATCAGATGAGATACAAAATAAAAACCAACCTGTGACTGACCAAGATGAGTCCATCATGATGGAAAAAGTCACCCTAAGAAAGCCATCCAAGGACAAAATTGCTAGACAGCTTCAGAGATCAAAATACCCAAAAGAAGAAAGCTTATGTCATTCATTAAAGAAAGACATTGAGTTATGCACAGGTACTTGCCTTCCTGGTGCCTCCTGGAAAGAACACGACCCCAGCTTTGCTGGAGGTGACCGAATACACGGTGCCTTTGTGACTCTGTCATATCAGCCAAGATTGCTTCCTCATCGAACATGTAAGAGAGTTTCCTGTCAGGAGCCGGTTATTGTGCGGAGAAAAATAAGTAAAGTGAGAAATTCTGATTGTGGAAAGAGTTTCTCTAACCCAGTCCCCACAAAAGCACACAGACTTCTCAGCCCATGTACCGTGCCTGCCAAGCCATTGGAACCTGAAACCGTAGCTAGCGAGAGCTTGTGTAGCCACATACCAAAGCCGAAGGCTACTCTGTGCCATTCCTTGAGGAGCCTGAGTTATAGGAAGCCTACCAAAGAATCAGCCTTACTAAACAAGCTGTCTGTCCTTGCCTCCAAACTGACTCTGGCAACAAAGCCCCAGAAACTCAGATATCGGCGATATTCCTCCTCCCTTGTTCCTTTGGCTAAAAACTATAAGCGCCTCAGATATAAAAAGCTCCTAGATGGATTTTCACATAATGCAATGCAGCTGGACCCATATTTGGCAGTTACTGGGTGGAATAGGGGGTCTAACAGTAGGCCCTTGGCACTTTATTCTCTTGAAGCTGTTAAAATGAGCTTCATAGATTTGAGCAACAAGATGCCGTCACTGCTGTTTGGTACCGAAAACATCCCATTTTCCTTTCATGTGAAATCAGCAACCAGTTGCATGGCTGAGTCCTCCAGGACTTTTCCTGAGCACTGTGCTCCATCAAGGCTTGCCTTAACAGAGGCCTCCCAGTGCTCAACTCCATCTCCCAAGTGGACCTTCTCTTTTTTCTTGTCCCACATTTGCCCTGGGATGGCCACATTCAGGGAAGACACTGGCCTCAGTAGTCAGACACACACTCAGGCTCCTCTCCGAGATTATGGAGGCACTGCCATAGTTGAGACCAGAGCAAACTGCTCTAGCCTTGGCCTTCACACACTTCTAGCACTTTGTTCACCCGGATGTTACCGAATCTGGACAAAAAGACGGAACTTCTCCAGTCATATGCCTATCATGCAGAGGCTCTTCTTGACCCAGTTTACACAGGGCCTAAAAGGGTTAAGGTCTCCAGCCTCTATAGCAGATAAGGTCTTCTGTTCTCTGCCCTACTCTGTGGGCCGAGTGTTGTCCATTTGGAGCCAGCACGGGCCCTCTTGTACCTTCAAATTGCCAGCTCTTCATTCCACTCATAGCAAGCAGCAGGGGAGCCTGAGCATCCTGAGCAGGTAAGAACTTGTCTCCTTTGTTTTAATTGTGTTCCATAACTGTCCCCTGCTGCCCATAGCATCTTCTCTTTTTTTTTTTTTTTTTTTAAGATGTATTTATTTATTTTATTATTATGAGTACACTGTAGCTGTCTTCAGACACACCAGAAGAGGGCATCCAATCTCTTTATGGATGGTTGTGAGCCACCATGTGGTTGCTGGGATTTGAACTCAGGACCTCTGGAAGAGCAGTCTGTGCTCTTAACCGCTGAGCCATCTCTCCAGCCCCAGCATCTTCTCTTATATCTGCACTATTCTTTATGTTTTAGTCTTTGTGCCAGCCACCATATTTTTTTTTTTTCTTTTTCTCTTGAGTCAGAGTCTCAACATAGCTCTGTAGTTGTGGAATTCACTATACAGACCAAATTGACCTGTCCCTCCCAAGTGCTGGGATGAAGTTATGCACCACAATGCCCAGTGTATGCCACCACCTTTCATTATAGGTCGTTTACTTGTTTGTTTGTTTGTTTGTTTATGACACTGTGGCTCAGGCTGGCCCAGAACTCAAGAATACTTTTTTTGGCCTTGAGTGCTGAGATTACAAGTCTGAGCCATCATGTCCCAGTTGCTTCTACCTCTCTTTCTGTATAGTATAGGCTTCAGAAGTTTACAGTTGCATACACTGGGTTTTGGGACTTTGTAGAATTTGTAGTGAACTGGACAGATTCATTTTTGGGGTGTGAGGAGAAAGAGAAGGTTCCTCTGTGTAGCTCAGGCTTCCTTGGAACTCTTTAGATCATGCTGGTTTGTACTCAAATCTGTCTGCTCCTATTTCCTGAGTGCTGGGATTAAAGGCATGTGTCACCACTCTGTTCCGGGCTGGACAGAAGTTCTTATGGTTTCACTGTTGGGAGTAGGGGAGAATAATCTGATCGATATCATTGTACCTTCTAAAAGAAAGTAGAGCAGGAATGGGGATGCAGCTTAGCAGTCGAGTGTGTGCTTGTAAGACTAGATTCAGTCCCCAGCTCAGAGAGGAGGACGGAAGAACCTAAGTTTTTTTTTTTTTTCCCAGTAATTAATTTATTTTTTCACTTTTCATCCTGAAAGCAGCCCCCCCCATTTCCCTCCTACCATGTAGCCCCTCCCCCATCCCATCTTCCTCTTCTTTTCCTCTGAGAAGGGGAGGCCCCGCTGGGTATCAACACACCCTAGCACATCAGATCACTGCAGGACTAGGTGCATATTCTCCCATTGAGACCAGACAAGGCAGCCCAGTTAGGGGAATGAGGTCTTCATGCAGGCAACAGTTGGGACAGCCCCCACTCCAGTTGTTGGGATGTCCTGTCCAGCAGGGCATTAAACAGGGGTCCAGGGAGATGACCTGAAAGAGAAGATGGAAATAGGCAAACACAAGGAACATGGCTTGTCTATAGGCTGATAAAACCGTAATTTTTACTTTTTTACACACAAGTTATATACACAAAAAGGCAGGATGTGGGGAAGGGGATGACGCTAGAGCGTAGGTATTCAGCGGGAGTACAGATATCTTCCAGAACAGAGTGTCAGCTGGGTGAAGGTTCAAGGGACAGATCACTATGACTCTGCCTAGGATTCACTTGTCCTTATCTAAGTTGCTACTATCCACTAAGGCTACCAAGGTCTACGACTAAAACTTGGCAACTTTTCACCAAAGCTGCTTGTTTATAATAGCTTCTAGGCATCTGTTTCAGTGTTTTTCCACAGAGACCCAAGACTTTGTGTTAGCAGGCATGTATTGTCAGGCCTATGGCTGATTTTAGGCCTTCAGTGTATAAGCAGGGCTGCCCCCGACATTGGGGGACCCTCATGAAGACCAAGCTGCACATCTGCTACATATGTGCCATGGGTGGGGAAAGAGGGACACAGATGATTAGGTCCAGCCCATGTATACTCTTGGTTGGTGGTTCAGTCTATGGGAGCCCTCAAGGGTCCAGGCTAGTTGACTCTGTTGGTCTTCTTGTGGAGGCTATATCCCTTTTGGGTCCCTCAATCCTTCCCCCAACTCTTCCACGGACTCCCTGAGTCCCTTCTAATGTTTAGCTGTGGGTCTCTACATCTGTTTCAATCAGTTTTTGGGTAGAGCCTCTCAGAGGACAGTTATGCTGGGCTTCTGTCTGCAAGCATAACAGAGTATCATTAATAGTGTCAGGGATTAGTTATTGTCAATGGGGGTGGGTCTTAAGCTGGGCCTGTTATTGGTTTGCTCTTCCTTCAGTCTCTGCTCCATCTTTGTTCCTGCACTTGTGGCAGGACAAATTTTGGGTTGAAGGTTTTGTGGGGTGGGTTGGTGTTTTTATCCTTCTACTGCGAGTCCTGTCTGGCTTCAGGAGGTGGCCACTTCAGGCTCCAAATCACCCATTTGTAGGAGTCTTAGCTAGAGTTACCCTCACAGGGAACCTAAGATTTAAATTTTCCCATTTTATTAGAGTTTTTAGGTGGGATATAGTTTATGTAGAGTGCATGCTTAGCATAAGATGCTGAAATTGATCCCTACACTAAAACAGTCCACAAAGAATTAATTGTGTTAGATAAATCTACTGAAATTCTTCAGATGAACAGAAACTCTGTTGTTTTGTTTTATTTATTTATTTATTTATTTATTTATTTATTTATTTTTTCAGATAGGGTTTCTCTGTTAGCCCTGGCTGTCTTGGCACTCTATCTGTAGACCAGGCTGGTCTACTGAGATCTGCCTCCAGAGTGTTGGGACTAAAAGTTGCACACCACCACTGGCCCGCTTAACTCTGTCATTTAAAATTTGTTCTTAACTATTGCTACAGTTGAAATTCTAATTCTGATTGAAATTTTAAGACCTGTTTGGGCTAAGGAGTGAAAACACATTAAAGGGGCAAGAAAGATGTTCAGCAGTTAAGAGGACCAAAATGTGGTTCCTCTTAATTCCAGTCCTGGAGCTCCAGTTCCCAAGGATCTAACATCCTCTTCTGGCTTCTGTGGGCACTGCAAGCATTTGTTGTACATACTTACTATTGGCAAACAATATACATAAAATCCATATGTATGCATGCATGTATGTATGTATGTATGTATGTATGTATGTATGTATGTTTGAAACAGGTTTCTCTATGTAGCCCTGGCTGTCTTGGAACTCACTCTGCAGACCAGGTTGACCTTGAACTCAGAGATCCACCTGCCTCTGCCTCTCACGTATTACCAGCTTTTTTTTTTTTTTTTAAAGCACTGCCCAGCGGTTTTTTTTTTTTTTTTTTCTTTTTGGTTTTTCGAGACAGGGTTTCTCTGTATAGTACTGGCTGTCCTGGAACTCACTCTGTAGACCAGGCTGGCCTCGAACTCAGAAATCCGCCTGTCTCTGCCTCCCAAGTGCTAGGATTAAAGGCGTGCGCCACCACTGCCCGGCTTGTCTTTTTTATTTTATTTATCTTTTTATTTTTTGGTTTTTCGAGGCAGGGTTTCTCTGTGTAGTCCTGGCTGTCCTGGAACTCACTCTGTAGACCAGGCTGGCCTCGAACTCTCAAACTCAGAAATCCGCCTGCCTCTGCCTCCCAAGTGCTGGGATTAAAGGCGTGCGCCACCACCGCCCGGCCATTGGTAGAGAAATTAAATTAATTGTGCTTTAGGCATGTAGCTATGCTTTATATATGTTGGGCATTAAAATTATTTTTCTAATTTTTTTTAAATATTTATTTGTTATTTATGAGTACACTGTAGCTGTTTTCAGACACATAAGAAGAGGGCATCACAACCATTACAGATGGTTGTGAGCCACCATGTGGTTGCTGGGAATTGAACTCAGAACCTCTGGAAGAGCAGTCAGTGCTCTTAACCACTGAGCCATCTCTCCAGCCCTCTAAATATTTTTTAGAAAAATTTTCTGAGTGTTTTGCCTAAATGTATGTCTGTATGACACATATATGGTGCACAAGGAAGTCACAAGAGTGTGATGGAGCCCTTGGAACTAGATTATAGATGGTTGTGAGCCTCCAAGTGATTACCAGGTACTGAGCCTAGGTCCTGTCCAAGAATAACCAGTGCTCTCAAATGCTGAGCCATCTCTCCAGCCTCCTTACTTTTTATGTGTCTTGGTGTTTTACCTGCATGTGTGTATGTACACCATGTACTTAGTGCCCATGCAGATCAGAAGAAAGTGTCAGATGCCCTAAGAGTTGCAGATAAGTGAGCCGCCATGTGAGTACTAGGACTTTGGTCCTCTGGAAGATCACCCGGTGCTCTTAACCATTGAGGCATCTCTTCAGCCCTCAAAGGCAAAATTCATTTTAACAATTAATATTGACCTGAACAGTTTAAGATCTTTATTTTATATTTTCATTATACTTTTAAATTTGTATGTTTGGGGTATTTTGGGGGGAAGAGGGGAAGATGGGGTAGGCTTGTGTCATGGGGTGTGTGTGTGTGTGTGTGTGTGTGTGTGTAGTCAGAGGACAACTTTGGAGTTGGTTCTTTCTTGGTCCAGGAATTAAACTCGGGCTGTCACCTTGCATTGTCAGACAGTAACTGTCTTTACCTGCTGAGCCATCTCACCTCCCCAGCCCACCCCTGTTTGGAGACAAGGACTCATGCAGTTCAGACTGGCCTCAAGCTTGCCGTGTGCCTCAGCATGGCCTTGAACTCATCATCATTCTGCCATCTACCCTCCCTGGTGCAGGGGTTGCTTATACAGATACTTTGATGTGTTATTGTGTTTGGTTTTTTTATGCGCAAGATACTTTAATGTCTAATTTTTCAAACCCATTTGTTGTATGTGTGTGCATATATGTATGTGTGCATGCATATAAGTGTACATGTGCCATGATAACCGCATGAAGAAAGGAAGGTCAGCAAATTTTTTTGGGAATCCATCTTTTCCTTCCACCTTGTGAGTTCCAGAGTTTGACCTCAGGGGGTCAGGCATGGCAGCAAGACCTTTTACATACAGAGCCATCTTACTATTCCTCATCTTTAAAATTTTAAAAGAATCCTAACATATGAGCTTACCAAGTTAATTAAAAGGTGTGTAAGCCCTAAAGTCATTCTTATTCTTGTCCTCTCGTTTACTGTCTTTTCCTTTATGCCTTTTTATATTAGGAGCACTCTTCCTGTTAGTGTACTTCTAGCTTGTTCAACACATGTGCGTGGTGGCGTGGTGGGAGGTGCTTGTTTCTTGCCTCCGTCATTTACCAGTACCTGCAGTAACATCAAGACCTTTGCTCTTGTCCCACTCCCTTAACTTGCTGCTTTGTACTTGTGCTTTACTTCAGCCACACCACCATACCAAATGTGCCTCTTCCAGGCATGGAAGCTGTCCACAACACCAACAGCAGTCACCTGAGGTAAGCCTTAACTCGCAGGTCTGAAGTGTGGATGGGTGTGTGAGAAAGCGCAGAGAGAATACATTTATTCTGTTTTCATTGATAGCATGGGCCAGGCATGGCGCGACTCTCCCCTGGTCTCATCAGTCTTCTTACAGGTTTATAGGTCTCAAATATCTCGGAGAGTCAGTAATGCTCTCTATCAAATAATAAGGAGTAGGGTTGTATACTTAGCACCATTTACTTAAAAAGAAGCCGTTAACCACCTTGCTAGCATCTCATGGTGTCTGGGAAGAAGTCCTTAACCGGTCCTTGCCCTGCCCCAGCCTGGGTCCTCGTCTCTGAGTGGGGTTGGTTCATCTGTTCATTCACTACTGTCTTCTCACCAGTCTCCACTTACACATTTCTTCATAAAACTGCCCAGTACACTGAAATGGGTTGATCACATTCTTGCAATCTTTCATATGTGTAGACCCAGGTTTATCTAAAAGTGACTAGAAAATAGGTTGCCTAGAAATGTCATTCCTGGACAGATGAAACATCACCCGTTCTAATTTGTATGTTCAAAAGATCACATGGGCTGGGATGAGAGACCACAGTGGTAAATTGCCTGCCTTGCAAGCCTGAGGGCATAGGTTTCATCCACCACAGCCCACATAGAAAACCAGGGATTGGCAGAAGTAGGCAGGTTCTGAGGCTCACTGGCCAGCCAGCCTAGGCTACTTGGTGAGATCTAGGCCAGTGAAAGACTGTCTCAAAAAAAAAAAAAAAGGGTGGCTGGGACAGCTGAGGAAGGACATTGTCTCTGGCCTCCACATGCACATGCATATGCACACGCACACACCAAGATCCACAGCAAGACCTATGTGTGGAGCCATCTTACTAAAGAATCTTAACGTGTGCTTACCAAGTTACTTAAAAAAACAAAACAAAGACAAAACTAAATAAAAATGCCTGCTTGCTGCCAGGTAGTAGTGGTGTATGCCTTTAATCCCACCACTCGGAAGGCAGAGGCAGGCAGATCTCTGAGTTCGAGGCCAGCCTGGTTCTCACAGCAAGTTTCAGGGCAGCTGTGGCTCGACTGAGAAACCCTGTTTCGAAAACAAACAAACAAACAAACAAACACACACACACACACACAAACAGTCTGCTGGAAGTAGGAAGCAAGCCTCATATAGGTTTTATTTTCATTCTGTCTCCATGGTTGCTAGGCTAGAGCCTGTGTTTCCTGCCTTGGTGCCAAAGTCTTGCTTGGTAACAGAACCTGCTGTCAGCACGCTCTTGCTCTCGGCCCCTGAGCTCCCAGTTCCTGGGTTTGATGAGCTGGATGGTGTGTCTGCAGCTTGCCCCCGACCACAGAGCAGCCCTGCACAGCAGAAAGAGGTAAATGCCGGCTGGGTACCAGGGTGTCAGGTGGAGGTGGCATTAGAGTTCCCATTGACTCCCATCACATGGTGGGTACAGACTTTACTCACTAGCCTTAGCTCAGTGTCTGAGCATAGTGAGGTAGGAGTTTTTCAGCTTGGTCCCAGCCTTGTTGAAGAAAGAATATGGTAGATTTTTATGGGGGTTGTTAACCTTCATTTTGGTTTGTTTTTAGAGATTGGGTCCTGCTGTTTCCTCCTTACTGGCTTCCAGTCCTCTTCCTGCTCCACTATGCAGGACTTAGTTGTCTGTGTTGTTTTCCAGATCCCTTTTCTCAGCAACAGCATTAAAGAAAGTTTATAGAGAGAGATTTGGCCTTACGAGCCTTCGTGCATTGAAAGATGAGTAAATGATAGTGTCCTTCAGTTTTACAACATCACCTGTCTCTACTGAGTGAACACCTTCAGTTGATGGTCTCAGTTGGAACCATTCAACTCTGTTTTACTATATGAAGGGGCAGTGACAGAAGATGAAGCCAGAGGCCAGCCTGGTCTGCAGAGTGAGTTCCAGGACAGCCAGGGCTATACAGAGAAACCCTGTCTCGAAAAACCAAAAAAAAAAAAAAAGAAGATGAAGCCAGGGTAGGAAGGGGGAAGTTGTCTTCAGCTATTCTTTAGGCTTATCTATAAACTGAGGGAGCAGTGTTTTGAGTCTAACAGCTTTACTTAAAATGTCTTACATCTTGCCTATCTTTGTTCTTAACCTTTAAAAACAGGCTGAGCCAGAGAAGAGACCAAAGAAAGTCTCACAGATCCGCATCCGGAAAACCATTCCTAAACCAGATCCCAACCTTACCCCAATGGGCCTGCCTCGGCCCAAAAGGTGAGCTTCTCTAATGCAAAACGGGTTCGCTGTCTGGGAAAAGTGCTAGGCAAAGCATACTTGTCCTTAAAGCCACTGTCAAACAATCAAAACTGTGTTCTTTTTTTTTTTTTTTTTTTTTGGTTTTTCGAGACAGGGTTTCTCTGTGTAGCCCTGGCTGTCCTGGAACTCACTCTGTAGACCAGGCTGGCCTCGAACTCTCGAACTCAGAAATCTGCCTGCCTCTGCCTCCCAAGTGCTAGGATTAAAGGCGTGCGCCACCACTGCCCGGCTCAAAACTGTGTTCTTACTTCTAGGAATTTATCCCAAGAATTCACTGGTTATATGGCTATATAATTATGTGCAAGATTTCCAATATATTAATCATTTTTATTGTACTCCCTATGCTAGATATTATGTGTGCATAGTCGTAGCTTAAACTCCAGTAGGAATCCAGCCTTTGAGCTTTGAGAGGCCAAGGCAGGAGTAGTTCTCTTTCAGACCAGCTTTGGATACATAGTGAGTACAAAACAGTCCTGGATGAGGTTCTCTCTCAGAGGAGAAGGGAGGGGGTAGGGAGAGGGAGAGAGACCAGAGTTACATGATGAGACCTGGTCTTAAAACAACAAAAAAGTCACACACACAAACTAAAAAAAAACCAGTTTATTTTTAAAAAGTTTATTTAGGTTTATTGATTTTATTTGTATGTGTGTTTCTCAGCATGTGTGTGTGTGCCTGGTACCCTTGAAGGTCATTTTTATGGCACTGGATCTCCTGGAACTTAAGATACATTTGTGTTATGGTGTTTTTAACTTCTGAGCCATATCTCCAGTCCCCAATATACTTTTTAAGTTGGCAGTGCGGTGTACTCCTGTGATCCCAGCAATCGGGAGGTAGGAAGGAGGGAAAAGAGTTCAAGGTCACCTTCAGTTTCTAACCTTCTGGTTTATGTGCAGAATTCTGGTATAGTTTTCATTGGTTCCCTTAAGTAACTTAAATCAATTAACCTCTTGAAATCTTTGTCTGTCTGTGGGCCAAGAAAGTGCCTTGAACCCATCATCCTTCTGTCTTAGCCTCTAAATGCTGAGATTACAAGTAAATAGTATGTCTTACAATATAAAATATATTCTCTCTCCCTCCCACCTCTTACTGTACTGGAGACTGAGTAGAAGAAGGCTGGGAGCTGCCTTTGAGCTGTACTCCACTAGCACATACTGACTACCCCTTATGTCACTTCATTTGTTGTCCTTTGTTTTGTTTCTGGTTGTTTGGTTGTTTGGTTTTGGTTTTTTGAGACAGAATTTCTCCACATTACCCTGCCTGTCCTCGAACTCTCTCTGTAGACCAGGCTGGCCTTGAATTCACAGAGATTATCCTGCATCAGCCTCCTGAGTGCTGGGGTTATCAGTGTGTACCACATTGCCAGCTTGTTTTGTCTCCTGTAAAAGATTACATTTTTAATTTTGGTGTTCTCTGCCCCCACCCCGTGCTCCGAATCCTCTTACTGGAATGGGCACTGCCTTTCTCTCCCGTTTGCCATCACCACACTTCTTACCCGGGTCTTTGAAAAAGTCTTTCCTCCTACTCCCTTTCTTTAGAACATGGTGAAACCCAAGAAGTTCTTCTGATCTCTGAATCCTTTTATAATCTGAATTTGGCAGTTCAAGCTGGCTAGCCCGATGCCCCAGCAAAGTTCAACAAGGACACTGGAAACCACTTATGACACTCAGGAGAGATGTAGGCAATTAGGGTACCCACGCCTGTTGGCATGGCCTGCCAAGCACCTTTGGCTGTTCTGGGAGCAGATGGCCTAGTTTGGTCCTGTGTATGTTTAAGAAGAAGGTTATTGGTCTCCATCTGGTAGTGATCCCTTTTCTACAATCTCCTTATCCTTGGCAGTCCAGAAAAAATAGGCTGCTATGAGCCAGGTGGAATCCTAGCAGCTCTTGGGTGTTCAGCTGGAGTGTCATGTGGTGTCAGGAAGGGCTTTGGGTTCCTTGCTTGTAGGAGTCTGGACCAGCAGACAGTCTGTATGTCTTTCTCACCTCCTCTATCCTGTATGGAGTGGCTATTACTGCTTTCTGTAGTTTGAAAGAGATGGGTAACTTCCTAGGGGGTGGACCAGGACTTCCTTTGTTATATATTCTTGATGACTTGCTCCTTTATTAATTGACTGTATTCTTATCTCTTCTGTCTCATTTTGGTTAGAGGCCCACTTTATCAGATTTCACAATAAGTATACCAACTTGTTTTTAGTTTTCATTTGTTTAGATTTTCTACCTTTTCTTCTTTCTTTTATTTTTCTTCTTTTTTTTTTTTAATTTCCATTCTTTAAAAAAATTTTTCAGCTGGACAGAAGTGGTACACACACTCAGGGAGCAGAGGTAGGTGGATCTCTTTGAGTTCAAGGCCTGCCTGGTATACAGAGCAAGTTCCAAGATAGCCAAAGAAACCTTTTTTGGGCGGGGAAAATCATTCTGATTATAGATTAGAAAAAGAAGTTAGATCAAAGGATTTTAGGTGGGCATTGGTGGCACACACCTTTAATCCTAGGACTTAGTCAGTGTGCTGAGGCAGGCAGTTCTCTAAATTCAAGGCCAGCCTATTCTGCAAACTGAGCTTTGGCACAGCTAAGGCCACACAGAGAAACCCTGTCTCAAAAACAAAAACAAATTTAAAAAAAAGTTTAATTTGTGTAGATGTTTTGTCTTCATGTGCCAGTTGTCTATGGAGGCTAGAAGAAGGGGCAGGGTCTCCTAGGTCTGGAGTTACAGGTGGATTGAAATGACATGTGGGTGGTGGGAATCAAACCTGGGTCCTCTGCAAGAGCAGCCAGTGCTCATAACCACTGAGCCATCTCTCCAGACTTTTGACTTTGTAGTTTTAACATCTTGACTATGATGTGTTAATATTCACCAGAGAGGTTCTTCTCTGGTTGGGTCTGTATTGAGTTCTAAATGCCTTTTGTATTTCAAAGTCTCTTTAAATTTGGACAGATTATATGTTGTGTTTTCATTGATGAGCTTCTGTAAACTTTTAGTGTTTTTTTTTCCCATCACCTTTTATCTCATAGATTCTTGAGTTTGTCTCTTAATTGTATCCCAGAGTTCTTAAATGTTGTAGTCATGTTTGTCTTTATTATTTTGGGGGTTTTTGTTGGTTGGTTGGTTTGTGGATTTTTGTTTGTTGGGTTGATTTTTTCAAGATAGTTTCTCTGTATAGCCTTGGTTGTCCTGGAACTCACTTTGTAGACCAGGCTGGCTTCAAACTCACAGAGATCTGCCTCAGTTTGCCTCTTGAGGGCTGGGATTAATGGCCTGTGCTACTAAGTGGCCTTGGTTTTGTTTTTTGTTGTTTTCTTACTGAATGTTGTTGTCTTATATCCTTTTTTTTTTCCATCCCTTTAATCTTTCCTCTGCTTGGTTATGCCTGCTATTGATGCTGTCATACTATTATTTGGTTCATTGAACTTTTCCTTGCCAACTTCTCTCTCTAGTGTACTTGCTTCTTAAAAAAGCCTAACTATTTACAATCATGTGTATGGGTTTGTGAGGAGAGTGCGTGCACGGGAGCACAGTTGCTCTTGGGTACCAGAAGAGAGTGTCAGACACCCTGGAACAGGCAGTTACGAATCTCCATGTGGAGTCTATGAAATGAACCTAGGTCTTTGCAAGAGTAGCACATGTTTTTAACCCCTGATCCATCTCTCCTGTCCCTCTCTAGTTTTTGTATTCTGAGACAGTCTCATTGTGAAGCTGACCTGAAATCCACTAGTTACATCAGATTCACAGTGATATGCCTACCTCTGCCACTGTAGTTCTGGAATTCAAAGCTGCTTGCTGTTTTTAACTTAAATTTCCTTGCTGAAATTTTCTTCGAAGTTGCGGCTTTTTCATCCATACTGCTGATTTTGTTGTTATTCTTGTTAGTGAGTGAGTGAGTGAGTGTGTGCATGCGTGCGTGCGTGCTTGCGTGCATATGTGTGATGCACATATGCAACAATGTGCATGGCTGGGCCCAAATGCGTACACCATGGATTACGTGTGGAGGTAAAAGGACAACTTTTGCAAGTTGATTCTATTTTTCTACCATGTGGAGCATGGTAATTGAACTCAGGTTATCAGGCTTTGTAACAAGTGCTTTGACTGCTAATTCAGTCCATTGCTGATTTCTTTTTTCTCTCTTTCTTTCTTTCTTTCTTTCTTTCTTTCTTTCTTTCTTTCTTTCTTTCTTTTTTTTTTCTGGAAAAATGTTTGAAATGTTCATCTGGCATTTTAACCATAACAGTAACTTTGAATTCAGTAACAGAGGAGTTTGGATCTTTCAGATGACTCATGTTGTCATGCTGTTGTGTATTTCTTCCAGTTTTGTATTGAAGTTTGTATATCTATTGATTTATAAGCCTCTAGTTTCTAGGGATGTCTTAGTGAGCAGCCTGCTCTTTAAGGCTTAGTCGTCAGTATCAGTCATCAAAGAGAACCCAAAGTGTTGTAGCAACAGTAACGTCACACTGTATGAGGTACAGAAGGATTTAAAATCCCCTGATTCCAGTAATGCATCACTAATACCTATGCAACTGAAAATGTCAGAGTTACTGCAGAGCATGCTGGGACCCTGTGGACTAAGTGTGGGAGGAGTAAAGGGTTGAGAGGAAAGGAGGAGTTAGAGAAAGGAGTGTACAGAGGAGAACTCAGCTAAAATTGGGGGGGAGGCGGAACACGGGATGTTAGGGAGCAAAGAATTTAGGAAAAACTTTACAAGAGAAAAGGCAAAATAAAATTGTTTCTCAATAATGAAAAGTTAAAAAATGCAATTAATGTAAAAGGGAGAATAAAAAATAAACTCATACCAAATTAAAAAGTTTGGTATGTATCTTAGGATTTACTGCTGTGAGCTGGCACCACGACCACAGCCAACTCTTATAAAAGACGACATTCAGTTGGGGCTGGCTTACAGGTTCAGAGGTTCAGGCCATTATTGTTGGAAGCATGTCAGTGTCTAGGCAGGCATTATACATGAGA